TTTCGACCTGGGAACTGAGTTCACTGAATACAAGTGTCAGAGTGTGTCACCACCTGTGTCTAAGGTCTCTAGGGACTTCATACTGATCCTAGCTCTTGCGAGCAAAAATCTAAGTGTGTGTGTGTGTGTGTCACCCCCTGTATCTAAGGGTTCCACCTTTGTAACTAAGAGTTTTGAATGCAGGGGGCCATCCCCCTGCTGTTTCACCGCCATCCTTCCCAGCGTGGGAACTGAGTTAACTGAATACAATTGTCGAAGTGTGTGTGTGTGTTCTATTGAATACCAAGCCCGCCTGTTGGGACGAACGAAGAAACCCATGCTTGACCCGCCGAGACCCGCCGAGCGACCAGGTTCGGGTCGGGCACGGTGTGGGAAGCACCGGGAAGCCGCGGCGTGGTCACATTCCACCCGGTCCGTGTGGTGGTGTCCGTCATTTCATGCCGCGTGTGTCGTAATACACCGCACATCCAGGGTTACATCCTATGTTTACCTTCACGCACATGGCATCACATGGCACACGCTTGGATGTTCAACTGGGCATGGACCACGCATGCTCATGCCTGCCAAAGGGTGCACCGAGGCTCCAATGCACCAAGGCTCCCGTCGACAATGCCGCATACATTCTTTCGCACCAGGTACGTCGTGAATTATAGCAACGTTTCTCACCAATCACGTATAGTGGATTGAGAGTAGATGGCACAGACCCCTAAGAGGTGGTTTATATATGAGCCCCCATGTAAAGGACATCTTGAGGTCTGTGCCATCTACTCTGAAACCACTGTAACGTCGCATGAATTGGCCAAGTTGGTTGTTGGAAGGCCCGCTGAACAAAACTTGGCAGCCGTTCCTCGACGGATCTCAAATCTCTGAGCAAATCAGTTTCTGACCCTTTTCGACCTCAAAGGGATGCGGCCAATGCCCGCCATTTCATCAGGCAAAATGATCACATCACCAAAGCAGGCCAGCAGGCCAAGGTACGCAAGCCTCTTGTGATTGCTTTGCCTTGACCACCAGCTGCTCCAGTTCTTGTAGCAATTTTCGTGAGGCCTCCTCTTTCCTGGGCTGTCCAGCCCCATGCGCAATGACAACGCCCCACACGGCCAGTTGGTTTCAAATCCAAATTAAGAGATGGAAAGCAAACACCGTATTTCTGTTTGTCTGATCATGTCTCTGTCTGACATAAATCAACAAAGCGAATATGTGAGGACTGATCCTGATTCCTCCCGTCATACCCATCTGCTGCGTCCAACCAACAAGAAACCCCCTAAAAAAACTTCAAACAAACTCTCGGATCCGGATTGCAGGCGTTGTGATCATATAGATTTTCCCCGAAAGCATTCTGATTGCCAGTCACTGGTTTTAGTAAAACCACCTCCAGCAAGAAATACAGTACCAGCAGTCGCGACGGGATTGAGTTCACCCTTTTAGAAAGGGAATATTGAACAAGGGAAAACCACCCAGGTACCCCCTCCCAGGCCAAACCACCCTCCCAGGATCTCCCAGGTACTTCAAGCCACCACCCAAACTGGTCTCTTGGACCAGGTCGATGACTGAAGGCATCCTTCAGCTGGTGTTCTCAACCCACCCAAGAACAATATGAGTCAGAGGGTCCAATCATCCCCAAGTGGTTGGGTTCAAAAGAAATCCGAAACCATCACGGACCTAGTTCAGCATCCTTCAGCGAACTCCAAGTGTCGCTTCCATCTCCCTCAGGAATCCCAAGTGAGCCTGTTCGCCGGTTTGACCATGCGACGCAGAACTTCTGCGAGGTTCGGGTTTGGACGCTTCTCACCCAAACCAAGGTGACCGGTGGTGCGTTGGGGATCTATTGAATCTAAGGAGGTATGAGTTGGGGTGCAATGCAAGTGGTCCTTTTTCCACCTGCTCAGCTTGAGCCAAACCGTTTGGTTGGCGAAGTTCATCAACACAGCTCGAATCGAAATGCTCGATCGAAAGCGAAAATACTCATGAGGTGCATGGTGTCTGTCCCACACTCCCCCTGCGGTGCGCCACCGCATTCCATTGGCCAAAAGACCTTTCGGTCAGCCATTCAGTTCTCCAGAAGCTCATAGCTTCCGTCGGAATCCCACTCCTCGTTGATGGGCATGGGACCCGAACTACTTCGGGCCGCGGGCCTGTTGCCCTCACTTCGAGCCGCGGGCCTGGAGGCCTCACTTGGTCGTCCAGCGCCGGCAGGGCGCGAGCTCCGAGCCACAGGCATTTGAATGCCCAACCATTGAGGCGTCGCTTCATCCGGCAAGTTGGGATGCCGGGCAAGCAGCAAACCTTCGGAATGGAGCGAGAGGATCCAATCCGACCGCTCTTCCTCAAGAGGAACCTGCATGTTGGCTGGCGCAGGCCTCTCTCCTCGATTCTCCTGTCCCCTCATCCGGCCAAGGTAGCCGAGAGTGAGAGGTGCTTCCATAGCATCCATGCCACGAGTCGATGCCGTCATCGTCGAGGACAAGGTGCTCGTTGGTGTCCCTGTGGAGCTATCTGCTGAGCCTCTTCGAACCCTCCTGATGCCTCTCAGCAGCTCTTCTTCTGGTCGAACCGGTGGAGGCCCCGATGACGCACTGACCTGCGAGGTCGAAAGCGACTGTCCAGGTGGCGTCGGTGTCGAGGAGCTTCCCGTCGTCTGGCCAGCAGGGGTCGAAGAGCTCGTTTGTGAATCCAGGGTGGCATGTTCAGGCAGCGGAGGTTGAGGTGGGTTGTCACGGAAAAAACTGTAGCCAACCCACTGCTCCTCTGTCGGAACCATCGGCCTGGTGCCACTGCGCCAGTCATCCTCCACCACCGACTTCTCGCCATGCAGCCATACCACAGTAACCCGTCCACTGCGGATTTGAGCCGCGTCGAATGGCGTCTGCCGATGTACAGGATGGAATGGCCTTTTTCTTGGTTTGACATGATGTCGAACCCACCAACCATCGCGCAGCCGCCCCCATCGATCTCGTCCTTGTGGAGGAAGTCGGAATTGCGGCCACTCATGAGGTCCAGCCACCGTCCATGTGCCGGACTCAGTGCTGGGCTCAGCGCGCATGGCGGCAAGGCGCACACCATGTCCATGGCAGCGAGGTTCGAACGCGGCCGCACGGGAGCCTCTTAGGCTAATGTCGCCCGCCCGTCCCCCCAGCCCAGCGGTGGGTTCATCTTCCCTCACCGATCTTGTGTTTTCTTCCCCTCCTAGTGCGGTGGGTTCATCTTCCCTCACCGATCTTGTTTCGACCGAATCCCGTCCCCGTGGCGCCTCAGCCTGGGATTCTGCCGGAATGTGTCCAATGATCTTCTTGAGGTCCTGTGCTTTCGATGCCAGGTATGCTACAAGTGCTGTGATGGTCAAACAGCGTGCAATCTTGTGTGCTTCATGGATTGGATTCCAAACAGCCATTCCTAAAATTCCAGCTACAACCGCCTGAAGCCTAGAACAAACTGACTGGTGTTCTTCCTTCTGCCCAATCCCTGAAGGCACACGTGCACCCAAAAATTGGAAAAACTTTTGCCATGAGGTCGGGTTCACTATCGGCTTCGTCAACAGATCCGACGGCAATTCCGTGCCAGGAACGTGCAAGGTGCGCCAACACTGTTGCTGAATGCGCTCCTTGATGACGTAGGCTCTCAATCTCAAATGCCTCGTCCGCCATGGGCCGTCAGGTGCAACCAAAATCTTCAGCCCAGTTTGCGAATCGCCACATAGGACCTGCTCGCCTTCGAAATGCAGCTTATGGTCCTCTAGAATGTTCACAATTGCAGCGACCGACTCACCCATCACCACTCCATCAACGTAGCCCATGAGTTCCGATTCAGCGCTTGAGAGAGTGGCGAATGGCTGTTGTCGACTTTCCCACTGCACCGGAGATCCGTTGTACGTGACCAGCAACCCTTGTTGACCTCTGCCTCCTTGTGGACCGTGGGACGCATCCGAAAACACTCGAACACTTGGGAGCTTGGCTGCCTCAGACTCAATGGAAGGAGCCTCAAACACCTGTTGGGTGTAACACAGCTCATAGTCCACGGTGGAGTGCAAATATCCAAGCATGTGAGCTCCCCATTCCAAAACTTTTCCCGGAGCTTTCGTCACCAAGCGGCCCATGATGGAGACTCCATAGCTGAGGTCAGGCCTGGTTCGCCCGCTGAGCCAGAGCAATTCACCAACGAGAGCCTGGGCTTTGCGGACCTGTTCAAATGGAGATGTTTTCCTCCAGTTCATCTTGTACGCCAAGGGGCAAAGGAGTTTGTCTCGACTTGATGCCTTCGTGGCGTGCAAGGAGATCTCGAGTGTAGGAGGTCTGGTTCAGGATGACCTCACCTGGGCGGCACTTGATCTCGAAGCCGCACAACTTGAGGGACTTCTCTGATGATGCCCACTCCGGTTCTGAACAGCGCCAACGAGCCCTGATTCCATCAATCACTACCTGAGCCAGTGGACTTGGGGCGGCAACCAGCATATCATCAACGTACACTGCCAAGAAGCCTTCTGAAGTGTCCTCCTCCGGGATGCTGTTGGGCTGAGTCTTGACAATCTTCCAGAGGTTAGGCTCCGGCGTGGTGACCAATTGGTTCAGCCTTGAAGCGTAGCTGAGGGAGTTCTTTGTCGCGATAGTGCGACCAATTTGCTGGGGCATCGTTCAACCCGTAGACAGCGTGGGATATCTCCCAAAGTTCGGTGGGAGGACATATTCCAGCTTCGACCAGCACCCTCGGAGGGCGAGCAACGAGCAAACGTTCACGTTCGTCCGGCCGTGGTGCTAACAAGAACGCTGTCTTGATGTCCACCGTGCCAATTGACCAGGATCTTTGAGCTGCGCACCTCATCAAGCAACGCAGTGTTGTCCCATCTGCTCCTCCTGCATATAGTGAATACGGAGCCTGGTCTTCGGCCTTCATTTCACCTGCTAAGTTGTCCTGGTCCTGTTGACCTTGGTGAGGTGGTTGCCACAGATTACCACCCGTGCTCTGAGACGTCCATGAGGACTCTTGACCGTGGGAACAAGCATAGCTGGAGCCAGTTCCATAGTTGGAAACCTTGGATCAAGGCGCAACTTTTCCTCCGTAGTTGGCTTGATTGCCTGGGTCGATGAGACCAATTGACCATATTCATCACGCAAGGGAGGCTTCCATTTTTCCAACTCCTTGCGGACCTGCTGTAGGGAGACCGTGTAGGTCTGGAGCACCGTGACTGGGACCTCAGTTGAACCAGCCATTGGAGCCAGTGAAGCCATCTTGTAGTTCTGCAAGGAGGAATGCTGAAACGACAATTGATCTTCAGCACCTCGGAGCAGCAATTCAACTTCACGAAGCCAGCTGCCGTGAACACTCCCAGCGTCCTCACCAACTGCAACTTCTCGAAGACCTTGACACCAGAGCTGCTTCAAAGCCCAGTGACGTTGTTGTTCAAGTTCATGCCACTGCTCGGCCTGTTGTCGTGAGCAGCACATAGGATCTTCCAGCTCCCCCGGAAGATCAGGGTGTTGACATTGATCACCTTGATCAAGACTATCGGGAGTGGGACCTCCAACAACCTCCTCCGAATCCCCTTCATCCTCAAATTGAAGTGCCAAGGAGCGGCCAACCTCGTCCAAAAAGGGCAAAGGATCCTCCCCCCCAGCTCGGCATGCGGCAAGAGCTGGGTCAGACTTATCATACAAGGCGCCCACGGCTCCAGCAAGAGGATGGTCAGGTAGAGGTGGTGGATGTTTCCCCACAATGCGGTGCTTGATTGATGGCACCTCCTGCAAATCCATGATCGCCTGGTCAGCCACCGGCGAAGGTTCCAAAGCCGTCCTCACATGCAGCAGCTGCCCCTTCTTGTCGCGGGCAATCCAACCATGAGACATGTATGGGCATGGTCCCAGGAGCTGCATGGTGCGGTAGGGCATGGAGAGTTGTCCAGCGCGATGCCAGCGTTTGGACTTAACCAAAACTGAAGCTCCGTAGCGAAGCATTGGTGGGCTCGGCAGGCCCAATCTTTCAAGTTGTAGGCGCACACGGCCTTCTGCAGCATGGCGTAGGGCTGTTGGCCAGAGGGATTGAGGAAGTCCAGAATCATGTAAAAGAAGTCGAGTTCGGCGCTTGATCTGGTTCACTTCTCCCTCAATTCGGCCGTTGGCCTTCGAGTCATCGCCTGCAGTCAGAGTCAATCGAAGTTGACGTTGCTCACACCATTTTTGAATTGGGACTGAGGCAAAAGATCGTTCTCGATCTGTGTGGAGGCGGTACACTTGAATGCCCAACATGCGGTACTTGGCATGTAGTCGAGAAAGGGCACGGACCAAAGACTCCACAGTTCTGTCTGGGATCACCTCAGCAAACGTGATGTTTTGGTGTCCAGGAGCTTCTTGGGCCTCTTCAATCTGGGCCAACTCATTGAGCCGCTGAACTTCATCATCCGAGAGCATCTCTCGCTCTTCAGGATCACAAGGCAGGTCCTCAGTGTGCTTGACGTCGTCTGCAGTGTCATAGGGCTCGGCAACCTCGCCTGGAAGCTCTGAGACAATGGGCACGGCCACAGTGGAGATCAGTGCATACTTACAGGTCACTCCAGTGCCGAGGTCGCGACCAGCAGGGAAGGGTCCACATAGATCCGCTGACATAGTGAACTTCGTTGCACTCCCCCCAAGTCTTTTGTGAGGCTTATCACAGCCCATCGCTTCACCACAGATTCGGCAGTCAGCACGAAAGGGAATGTGCCCCTGTTTGATGTGTCGGTGCCAGGCTGCAAGGTCCATTTTGGACATGTTGTGGGTGTCACCACTTCGACTTTCCTCCTCCAAAACGCCAAGCAACCTCCGCAGCGATTCCTTGATTGCAGCCACAAGTCCCGGCGCCCAAGCGGCCCAAGACTTTGAAGTGCGAATGCGATCTGCCAGCTTGGTGGGTAGTGGACCATCATCACAACCTTCACCCTGGAGACCATGTAGTTCTTCGAAGGCCGGGAGGTTGGTGAGGACCGTCGTGGGCTTCTTTCGCTGATGACCCAACCGTCCTTGGTCGAAGGTGACCAGACGAAGTCCTGCAGTTCCAACCCAGGCCGTGATTTCCGGGAAGCACCAAAAAGATGCGCTTTGAGCTCCTTCTTGATCACTCAAGTATTCAGCTGGGTCACGTGGAGATTCCAGCAACATTCCAACATCCGTGGGAACACGACGGCATTCTTGAGCACGTAGCCAAAGACCAATGTGCTTCATGCACAGTGCAGTGTCGCCGTGGACCAAGCGCTGCTCATCATCGTCCAAATCAGGAAGGCACCAACGATCTTCTCCTCGGCCACGTAGTCGTCGAGGGCCAGGAGCCTTATTTCGAAGGCGGCTTACTCTGCATGGAGGACCTCCAATGATGGCAACAATGCGGCCAAGTGATGCCAGCTTCCACAAGTAACTCCAAACTGAAGGGTTGTGGAGGTTCAGGGCTGCATTGATCTCAGTGTCTATGCACAGCCATGAGTATCGGCCTCCACCAACATCATTCCATTTCTTCGCATCAGCTCCACTGAAAAGGTGAACAATGACACCCTTCCCAGTCATGTGGGCCCGTCGCAACCTTCGATTCCAGGGCGGAGCTGTAGATTCTTGACTTTGACCAGCCATGTGCTGGAGAACTGGAAGTGGTAGTTCAGGAAAATGCTTCTGCCACCAACTTCGATCTTCATCAGAGAGAGCCACCTCCCCCTGATCCTCCATCTCAAACTGCGCCAACATGTCCAGCGCAGGCTGTCGATGCATGATAGGGCATCCATTCCTCAACCAACAGGGGATTGGTCCCAAAGTCGGGTGGTGGATGCTGCATCCCGAACGTCGCCATTCCACCTTGAAGCCGCGCTCAACCAAGAGGCCCAGAGGGATGATCGGCTCAACTTCCGTCAGGGACAACAAGGTGCGATGCTTGGGGTGGCGATACAAAACTGTTGAGCCTTGTGCCAGCTCCACTTCAACTGGAAAAAGTTCAGCTCGTTCTTCAGGTCGAGCAACACGTAGGGCATGGGTGGCCCCACCGTCCAAAAGAGCAAACCCCTGAGTTCCAAACTCCTGAGGGTGAGCACTGATCTGCTTGATGCGCATCGTCTTCACGGACCGAAGCGTCTTGAGCAGCGTTGCAGCTTCTTGGATGAGGTCTGTGGCGATGTCATTCTTGGGCTTCTCCTCCAGCGTTGACTTGGCTGGAGAACCACCTCCCAAATCCTTCAATCCCCCTCCAGACACCGTCGTCGGCGACAAGGGCAATGGGCTCGAAGTCGATGTAGACCCAGGACTTCACACTTCAACCTCCTTTTCTTTGGTCGGGCCTTCTTTCGAGCCCTCGGGCGCAACTCCTCGCAAGCGAGCTGCCTTCTTCACATCCTTGAAGTTCTTGGGTTGACGGTGCACACAATCCTTCGCCATGTGACCCTCCCCAGAACAGTGGAAGCACCTGTGCTGTCGGTCCAAGCCCTCCCAGCTATGCCCATAGCCACAAGTGTCTCCTCGTTTACAGCCATGTTGGGTCCCCCAAAACTTGCATGGAGACCGAGGTTTTTCTTCTTGAGTGCCGGACTGCATCGCCTTCACCACCGGAGTCTTTTCATTTGTAGTGGGCGAGCTCGTCGTGTTGGCGGCACCCTTGGGGACTGCAGCAACCAAAGCCAGCTCTTCCAGCTCCGCCTGCAGGTACTCGCTGAGGTCCTTGATGGAGTTCATCTCCGGACGTTGATCAACCAACAATTCCTGGCGCACAGTTGAGACTCTGTACGCCACTTGACTGCCTCCCAGCTTGGCCAACGAGTCCATGATCTTGCCAAGGACATTCATGAGGATCAGCGGGTCTGGCAGCGTGACCTTAAGTTCTTCAGCTCGCTGCAACCATCGGCGCCATTGCCGCATCGTCGCCAGGAGCTCCGTGACGGAGTGACCCACCTTCACTTCGGTGAGGCTTTTGAGAAGCGTTGTGCGTTCAGCTCCTCCTCCAGGTTGAAATACTACAAACAACTTGAACAGGATGCTCACAGTTGTGACGTGGCGAGAGGAGATGACATCTCTTCTCAATTGTTCGGGCAGGATGCCCAGCAGCAATGACACTCCCCGCTGCTCCACTCTCTGGTACAAGGGGTCCACAGTGACATCTTTTGGCCGCAGGCGCAACCTTTCCAAGGGCGTGGCCACCAGCCACTGTTCATATAGTTCACGAGCGGCAGAAAGGCATCCATCCCACCAAAACTGTGAGGTAGAGGACAAGTCTGCCATCAACGGATAGGCCACAGTCAGCCAATCCCCAAACTGCAATGCCGCGCCTTCGGATGAAGGTAGTGGAAGGGCAGGAAGATCCAAAGCCCTGACGGTCTCTGGAACGACCGGAGCCGGCGGAGTTCGAGCATCCCCATGAGGTTGTCCACCATGAAGGCCTGGGGGAGGATCTGGTCTTGACCCGGGAGGTCCACCTGCACCTGAGGGATCACCATGTGGTAGTCCAGGATGTGTTGCAGTTCCACGACCATCAACTCCACCACTGGCAACGGAGGCATACGACGATGCATCACCACCACCTGCTCCATCAGTTATGCGTTTGACTTCAGAGCGAACTTCTCCTCCGCCTCTTTGAGGATCTGGGTACGAAGTTTCTCAACATCCCCAGGTCCTGGACTTCCGTTGGTAGCCCGAGCACCTGCACTTTCCGCCATTCTCACATGACCTTCACCTCGTGCAGCTTGTTGAATTGAAGTGGTCCAGAAAGGGTTCACAGTGGCAAGGGGGCCCTGTGGCGTGCGAAATGGTTCAAGCACCCTGGGTTTCACCTCCTCCCGCTCTACCTGCCTTGTACTTGCAGGCGTGCCCATTCGTGGATCACCATGTGGAGCTCCAGGTTGATGTGGAGTTCCAGCCAAAGAACCTTGCCCAGCAAAGAGTCCGCCACCTGGTGGATGAGGTAGTCCCGAACCAGGTCCTTGAGGTAGTTCAGAACCTCGAAGAAGGGGGTCAAGAAGTCCCGGAGCAGGAGATGGTGGCATGTGGTGGCCCAAAGCCTGTTGCAACAACTCGAACGACTGGCGTGCTGCATCTTGCAATCCGCCCAGCCCCAAGGCATTGGCCCGAGGATCATGCAGTGCACTCATGATGCCCCCAGCTAGGGCAGACTGCCCAGTGGTTCCATCGTGATGCCCGCCATGATGTCCAGGTTGTTGTGCCCCACTTCCTTCTCTTCGCCCTGCTGCCCCATCAGCGGCAGGATGCATAGCCAAGCGCCTGACAGCCAGATCATCTTCCGCAGGCAATGACGAAGCCCTTGCTGCTCGTTGCTCTCGGAGCAGGCGGTCAAGCTTCTGATCTGCTGTCTCCTCTGGTAGTCGTCGTCGATCTTCTCGATGTGCACGTCGAGCGTCTTGACCTTCAGGTGGGTCGGCCCTTTCGCGAGAGCCTTGCCGTCTTCTTCGTTGCAGCGCTGCCATGGCGGCCAACAACCACACCTCTCACACAGAGGTTGTGGGTGGTCTTCGAAAAAGCTAGGCCGTTGGGCTCATAACCTAAGGAGGTATGAGTTGGGGTGCAATGCAAGTGGTCCTTTTTCCACCTGCTCAGCTTGAGCCAAACCGTTTGGTTGGCGAAGTTCATCAACACAGCTCGAATCGAAATGCTCGATCGAAAGCGAAAATACTCATGAGGTGCATGGTGTTTGTCCCACAGAATCTATTGCTCCATGGCAAAAATCCCTAAGGATCCTGGCCTTTGCCTTGCTTCTTGACTTGTGAGAACCTTCAAGAAACCATAGTCACTGGAAGAAAAGTAATTATGAACTTGTCACGTGGCTCAAGATCAGCAACCAACGTTTTCCATGCTCTTCAAATGCTCGTGCCTGACATGTCATGTCCTGGTTCCCAATTTCTGAACCTGCCAATCAAGTGCCAAGTCAAACATCATCCTGGACTGGGGTTGGACCATACGTGATGGGCTATAATTCAACCTCGGTGTGACAGGAAAAAGCGCCAAGAGTCCCAAAGTTCCCAAAGGGGTGGTGGTGTTTAACCCCCAACATCCTCCCAAATATCCCTAATTGAGTGGATCATGGGCACCCCTAACCTCCATTCATTAAGCACACCAACTGCTTGGTGCTTGGTGACCCAACTCCCAAGGGCTGGGCCTCTTGTGCGGTCTTGTGCTCCTTTCCACGCTGCACCACTGCTTCCTTCGCAGCGCTGATGGCCGTGCGAAGCTCCTGCTGGCGCACCTGGAGGGGCTTGGGTCGGTCCTCCTCTCAAAAGGGCCAGGTAAGGCTGCGGTTGCGAAAGGATGGGAACCATCCCTTGCTCTTTCTCAGTCCCTAGGGATCCAAGTACCTTCTCGGAAGGTACTTGGAGCCTCCAAACCTACATAATTATAACAGTGTCTCCAAACACCGTACCGGAGAAGGTACTTGGATCCCCGGGGAGTGTTACTAAGGGTTGTACACGAAAACCAAATGCACCATATTTAACATGGTCTTTGGGGGAATGTGGAAACCCTGGCGAAACCATCTTCATTCCCGCTTGACCCAAGCAAGCCAAAGTCACTAAGGTTTACTTTGTGCCGTGACAAGGGGCCGGTCTTTAGGATGAAAAGGCATCGAACTCGCACTCCGCGCATATCTAGGAATTGCTTCAGGGGAGAGGTACAACAAAACATTCCCCAGTGAAGGGGATTCACCCATTGGGAACACACACCACATCTAAGCAAAACCTGACAGGCTTCCCAACCCCGCCACCTCTGGCCTCTGGCGACTCCCTGGCGCTCACATGCGCCCCGGACGCGCCTCGGCGGTCTCTGTGGGGAAGGTGCTCTCGACCCGGAAGCCGCCGCCCTCCATGACCTTGGCTGCCCGCTTCTCGGCCACGGGACGCTGTGGTGCCGCAAAAAGGGAAAAAACGATCCAAAGTGGTGCTCTTGAACGAGCAAGAGTTGCAGGTGGTGGAGGTTCCAACAAAGGTTACTTATGTGGTATAAGTACATGTTGCTTCTGGTGGACTGTGTGAATTGACAAATGGCCTTGCACATTTGGGTGGAAAAATCCATGAAACTCAGAACTTCTGTGATTTCAAGGTTCTGTCACCAAATATGCAGGACGTTTCAACATCACTGACTTTGGGGCTTCATGAGGGCTCGGAGCGGACAGGTCCGGGAAAAATCACATCCAGGAAGATTGCACGTATAGCATGCTACACATTTCCTCAGCCGTGCAAGCTGTATAATAGTATGCCGGGTACTGGGCATATTGTCAAGGCACGGAGTGGGCCCCAACAAAAAACACAGTTTTTACCTGCATGCCTAGCGCTTCCTGTCGGGGTGCCCTGTCTGGAGACCTGTAAGTATTGTGGAGATGTCCATTGGTGACCCCGAACGGAAGCAACGGGTGTGTTCCCTGCATGTTTGCAAATCAAGCTGCTAAAATCAGGTTGGCACCAGTGGCTTCAGGCGCCTCAGGTCGGGCAATGTTGGTTGACACTGTTTGGGCGATGTCGACACTCACCCGGTCCACACCAAGAGCCTGAAGAGGCCTCCACCTGAAGAGGCTTGCAAGTAGACTAGAGGGTCACTACAGGATCTTGTCAAAGTGGTCTCTTATAGCTTGAATGTTTTAGCTTTTTGAGTGTATCTTTCAAGCCTCATCGGATTCGATCTGTTGCGACATGGAAGAAGTGCAGCTTTCCAAACATCGTCTTCCCGAGGTGATCTGGAGCGCAAAAAGGGTACTGCGTGTGGGTGTTCACCAACAGCTTGCAGTGAAAACAACGACTCGTCTCCCAAAGCATCTCCCAGTGGAAGTGGGCGTTGTCTGAAACGCCGCTGACGTTCACGTCACCAGCGGCGGGTGGCGTGGCCGCTCGAGCAACGCTCGTACCGACTCGAGCGTAGCCGTCGATGACCCACAGGTCAGGATGTCGGAGTCAGGGGATTGGAGTCTCTCTCCCAAGAGAGGTTGAGAGACCAGGACTAGGACCCTGGTCTGTGGTACATATGGGAAGGGCGACCGACCTGGGCTGTCTCTGTCTCTCTGTCTCATGCGAACGAGGACTCCAACGAGCAGTCGAGGACCCACCCACGGCACCACGGCACGGCACGCCGCGGAGACACCGCAACGAACTCGTCGTCGTCCGCGTCGTCGCGGGTGGAGGCGGGACGCGGTCGCCGCTCACGACGCTGCCCCACGTGCCTCTGCTGGTGACTTGCTGGAAGCGCTCGCCTGGCTCTGCGTGCAGTGAGGGGATGTTCGTCGCATCGAAGCTGGGGGTGCTTTGTTGGGTGCTTTGTTGGGTGCAGGGTTTGGGGGGGCAAAACAACCCTGGGATTTTCCTGGCCCACCACTGTCGTAATGGTTGCTTTACCAAAAATCCAGGGTTTTACTCAGGTTTTTAGACTACAGACTACAGTCAAAACATGTCAAAACCAAATAAAAGCAGGTCAACCATTCTTTGAATGGTCTTTGACGGCTAGGGCCAATTCCGGACCCCAAAGGTTCCAAGAACAATTTGGTTCTTGGATGACGCCGGAAAATGCCGAAGCGACACCACAGCCCAACCGCCATGAAAAAACATTGCGGCGGAAAATGCAATTCCGGAAAAAAAAAGGAGAAAAGGGTAAACCGGTAAACCGCATCCCTTCCCTTGCGAGCACATCTAGATGCTGCATCTAAATGTTCGGTCATGTTCGGTCTCTCCATACACAAAAAGCTGGGGCAGCTAGGAGAACTGGAGGTTTAATGTATCTACCAGGAGTCACAAGTACGGAGTGGTTTTTAGTCCCATCCAGTGAGTGGATGTTCTGGGCACCCCTAACCTCCATGGATCGCACCCCGTATTGTGACTGCAGGTATAAACCTGTTCATCGATGTTCAGAAGGCTGTCCGTTCACTCTTCGTGGTTGTCGATGTCCTTTTTTCCCACATCCAGTGGTACAGTATTGGAACACGATTTCGATGTATCTCCAGGCATGTTTGGGGTACCTCAGGCTTCTCATGAGAGACTAGATTCTATAGATCCATACCTAGAACCTCGTTAGGCAATAATTTCCACCCAACGCCATTTAGGCAGAAAATTCAGCCCGTTTTTGCAAAGAACGCCCAAGCTGCAGCCTCCAGGGTCAAAAACGCCGAGGCACAATCACATGCATTCTTACATGCAGGAGGCAAAGCCAGAATTTGAATGACAAAAATTGAGAAAACAAACGCCTGCCACTTGACGCTAATCCCCAGTCTAAAGTTATTGAAACTCATGTCGCTCACTCCCACCAAAAGGCTACCATTCCGTTGTCCGCCCAACTACTGATTGTAGTGAGGGGGGAACGGGCAAGAACGCCTAAGTAACGGGCAAGAACGCCCAAGTAACGGGTAAGAACGCCTAAGTGACGGGAAGAACACCTACGCAACAATATTAAAGCAATGAATCAAAGCATAGAAAAACTGAAAACATACAAAAGAGATCACCAAAGAAACATTAAGTGAATTCCTGACAAGCAAATGTACCTCACTATGAAAGTTCCTGGAATCAGTGGTGGGTGGATCCTCATCTATTTGAGCATTTTGAGCAACCAAAAGGACAAGAACGCCCAAAGGGGGCAAGAACGCCTACAGGGGGCAAGAACGCCTAAGCACGGGCAAAGTCGCCTTTACCCATAATAGGCAGAAATTTCTGCCCAAGAAGAGGTTATAGGTATAGATCCCAAACGCGCCATGTATGCCATATATGTTGGGGCGGTTTGGGGGTCAATGTAGGCATATATGGCAGTCCCATGGAGTGTCTGGGGATTGTTGAAGCTCCTCCTTTCCGGAACTCGAAAGATCACACACTCCCTTGGACAAGTTTGGCTACGTGGATGGCTACGTGCCACGCAGGATGACCATCGTGACTCACACCAAGCAGGTGGTTTGCCACGTACACATCTTCGTGACTCTGAGTGTTTTGATGTTGGTGGACCATCAAGCGAGCCGATACTTCCTTCTCAAAACCCCACATGAGACATGTGACTTCGAAGAGGGTCTCTGTCCAGCCCGTTCCCCCACCTGCGGCACCTCCAGGTCAGGTGGCGGAACGGCCTGAGGAGTCAATGGCACCTTGATGTTTCGCCACATTGGCTTGGGGGTTCAAGAGTAGCAGCTTGACAGTTTCATGCTGTGCCACCAGTCGTGCTTTTCTCACGACGTCGTCATGGAACATTGCAACAACACATTGGGATTGGGGTATATATATATAACTATATATATATAATGTGTAGTTACCCTACCAGGTGTGGTTTTTGGATGATGGTCAGGTTGCGGCGTTTCTGATCAATAGTGCTCATCACTGGGCTCATCTTTTACCGTGGTTTCAGAGTAGATGGCACCCCCAAGAGTCCATATACAGCCCCGTTTCTTGGGGGTTTCAGTAAATGGCACAAGGGCCCCCAAGAAAGGGGGCAATATGGACTCTTGGGGGTTGTGACTGGCTTACTGGGACGCCCTAGCAACCTCCGATGCTGGCCTGTGGCACCCGGAGTTCGTAGCGTGAACCGCGACTCGGGTCGCGGCACATGCTGAAGAGCACCTGCTTTGAAGTTCGAACGCTTGGTTGGTTGGAGAAGGTGGGGACCTCTGGTGGGCCACCCTGCCTTCTTCATGTTTTTATGTTGCATCGCTTTATCCTGGTTGGATTCATATCCCAAATGCTGGAGATTGACCGATCAGGTGGGGCGGCTTGAGGGATCAATGGCAAGTATATACCAGATTGGGTGCTTCAAGTGTCTTGTTGTCCTTGACTCATTCCCGTGTCGCAACTCTTCGTCGCCTGCGTCACGCCGAGATCCTCTTGCGCTGCAGAGGAGGCCTGTGGCCGGAGCGCGTGCTTATCAAATGGGTTCAATTGCTAAAGCAATCCCAGACACTCCATGTATGGCATATTTACCTACATTGGGGTGGTTTGAGGGATCAATGTAGGCATATATGACAAACATGGAGCGTCTGGGAATGATGGTCAGTGCACGTCTGCAGCTCTAAATGAACGAGACGTGTAACCCTAGTCGAATCCGCTATCCGGGGCCCTCCATACCGGTCCGGACCTTCAAAGCATCTCAACTAACCGGACTGGTGTTTGAGGGCTTCAAAAGCTATACCCCAAAAACTCCATGGGACTGCCAGTCCGGACTGCCCGATACTCTTTGACCCCCCAAACCAACCACCCCTGGCCGTTTCGGACTGGCAGTCCGGACTGGCAGTCCCAAACGGCTCGTCGTGTCTGGGTTAGGGAAAGGCCTGACCCTCAAAACATCTCATGCTCCGACCCTGCTCGGACACAGCGTCCGTGCCTGGACCCATCTGTGCTTCAACACCTGCGTGGCAGCATCCCACTATCCCACCATCACAAAATCATCTTAATCGATTGATCCCAGAGCCATGTAAATGCTGGGGAAATGCTGGCAAATGTATCATGTATATATAAACTACTCTCCCTGGGTTCCTGTGGAGTTCACCCCCCGTTTTTGGCCCAGCTTCGTCAGTCCGCACGCTCTTTCGTCGCCCCGGACCTCACAGCCCACGCGCCACGCGCCACCGGCCGCCTCGGGAGCGACCTCGACCGGTCGAGGTGCCGGTCTCCTAGGTGGCGCGATCGGGCGGACCTCAGGACCTGGTGCCGATCTCCTGAACCAGCACCGTCCGCGTCTCGGTGGGGTGGGGAGGGTTTTCCCAGGTCCGCGTCTCGGTGCATCGTCGAGAGGTGTGCGAAGTCTTCGAAGGGTTTTAGCCGTTGTGACAATGTATACGGTGCTCCTGAAGAAAAAAAAGCAGCGGTGCTCCAGCATCAATGCGCTGGGCGGCCTTGTGATGGAGTTATATGAGCCAACAACTACCTGAACCCATATATGGCAAGCAAAACCCCATTGCAACCAGCTAGTTATGTGAAACCAGCGTTGTAACATGGCCAGCCGTTCAGCTGAGAGGCGAATAGCCAGCGGCCGCCAGAAAGTGCTCCAAGGTGTCCAAGAAGCTGTCCAAGCCCTGCCAAAAGGTTGAAGAAAGCTAGTCATTTGACCATCCCATAGCATAGGTACCTCAAATGACGGACCCTCTAAAAGCCTTTGACCTCTCCGGCCCTGCACAGTCACCACGCTTGATTACGCAGGCAGGCTCTCCGGGTCGTTCCGATGGGTGACGAGGGACCCGCAATCAGCTGAAGACTGAAAAGAAACACTCCAAGGGACTGCCATATATGCCGACCAGGCCAGGGGTGGTTTTGGGGGTCAATGTAGGCATACATGACAGTCCCATGGAGTGTCTGGGTATCCAATTAGATACTCTCCCTGCCAGGGGCCCTCAAAACCATGAAAAAACACAAGTTTTCACATACAAAAACAAAGGTTTTTTGCAAGGGAAAGCCAGGTGTTTGATGGTTTGTGTGGGGCCCCTGCGAACCTAACATGGTTACGTGGATGGCGCCGCCTGTTTGGTCTTAAAGGGGAAGACTCCTTGGACCATGCCGGGAGTGGACCTCAGAATTCACCAGGGGGGGGGGCATGACACCGGACCCCGAGTCATTCGGTGGGGCGGAGCAACCGGAGGAAGGGACCACGCGGGAAAACCCCGGCCTAGCAGCAGCGACCGGGGCCACCCCTAAGATCAACCTCCAGATCTACCAACATGAGGTTGAAGGACCCGAACTAGACTATCCCAGGAACCGGTACCCCAGGTTTTCCGGGTCCTATGAAACCGGTCACTGGATACCCCCGATCAAATAATTTGGTCCAACCGTTTCTTACAACACGGTCCACGTTGCACATCTTCTAACACATTGTGGTGCTCGGTCAGCTGTTTCACCCCAGTGATCATGGTCCATCTGTCTAGACTCTTGTGTTGTCCTCTGTTCACCCCTCTTGGTTTTGAAGCTCAATCCCTCGTCCAATGGTCCTATTGTCGATTTACCATTCCGCTCCCTTCCCAGGCCCTACAGTCATTTATTTCCCAAAGAATCTCCCTTCGAGACCAGACCTGCTTATGCTGCGCCACAAGTCTGGCCACTACTCACACAAAATCCCAAAACCACCCCCCAAAAAATGTTCTTTGCACAATTTGTCCTTCAAAGTATCGGAATGTCCTTCGCGGCGACTGGGAGAACTTCCGGGGCCAACGAAAAAAGCCTTTGGATTGCCTGGTCGGGACCCTGCAATGGTCGGGATCTTCGGAATCCCTTCGGCGCCAGGAACCCCCCCCGGTCCGCCGAAGCAGTTCCAGCGACGGCGCGACGAGCTGGCGGACGTGGCGGCGAAGACGAGAACGGACTCGCCTGCTTGCCGTGGCTGGGCAAGTTCAGCTGCGAAAAGAGGCTCTTCAACTTGAAGATCATGATATTCTCCTGCATGAAGAGGGCAGAACAAAAGAAATAGCCTGCGAAAAATGTGGTCTTCTTTTTGCTGCCTGGCCCGTGCCCTTGAGGTAGCCATTATAATATGCCACCAATGCCAAAAACTTTGGGGAATGTCCCGCGGAGAGCATGATGGCGATTCCTCAACAAGGAAGACTGAGTAACCTGCGGCCTACTTCCGCATACTTCTCCTTTTGCTAGTGGAGAAGGAATGGCATCATCGAAAAGCATCAAAAAGCTCCTCCATGCTGCCTCAACATTTATTATCCGTTCGAAGCTCTTGGGAACATCAAAGTGTGACAAGAACTCACATCAAGTTCTTCTGAATCTCCCTCTCATTGGTCTGGTCGACGGTTGACTCTTCATCGAGGAAAGGAGAGGAGGCACAAGAGTCGGGCCATTCCGCAGTTGAACACCTCTCTACAAGCGTGAGCACGCCGAGCACGCCTGGTATATCTCGGTTTAGCGGAGTTATATGCCTAGGTTTAGCACGCAATTGTATGCCTCTGCATTCCAAATGAAGAGGAATTACAAACTTGAGGCCAAGGGGGGGGGCGAAAGCTAGCGCTCCAGAATGGGAAAGTGGAGGGCAGCGAGGTAGGAAAAAAAAAACGGCGCTCTTTTTGGAGGCAGTCGCACGGAGTAGCAGAAGGCAGGACGCCTTGCACAAGTTGGGCGGGGCAAACGATTCCAGGTGAAGAGTCCTTTATATGTGGCTCTTTGCCCGGATCCTCCTGCGAGAGAAGAGAGAGAAGAGAGACGGAAAGACGAGAGACAGAGAGGAGAGAGAGAGAGAGAGGAGAGAGAGATGAGAGACAGATGAGAAAGAGATGAGGGAGAGATGAGAGAGATGAGAGAGAGATGAGAGAGAGATGAGAGAGATGAGAGAGAGAGAGAGAGACAGTGAGAGTGAGAGTGAGAGTGAGAGTGAGCGAGTGCGGCCGCAAGATGCGCAACGCTAACCGCATGCCAGAGAGCGACGACAGGACGGAGTCGAACTTGCGAAGAGGGAGGAGGGAGGGAGGGAGGGAGGGAAGGTGGGAGGAAAACAAGGAGGAGAGGGGAGGTGGGGAGAGGGGGGGGGGCTTCGACCTGAAAAATCAGGGGTTAGGATTTGCACCCGATCGAAAGAAACCTTGCTATCGCAAGAGTAACTCCAGCTAGCTTCGCTAGCTTTCGTGATTGATTCTCTGAGCCAAGAAAACTGAGCAACATCAAGTGCAATGAAGACCAAGTGCATCAGTTCAAGATAGGTTGACCAGGTCCCCAAACGAAAAAACAAATGTCTTCACATGTCCCCCCAAGTCCTCCCAGTTGGTAAACCTTCCATTGACATATGATTGACCAACATCTCCCCGTATAGAGGTTAATTGGGAGGATCTGGTCTCCAACACCCTCCAATCTCCAAATGGGGGAGTTGATGAATCCTACCAAGACCCTCCAAGGGGTGCCCTGTTGGGAAGCCTATAGGTAGTGTGGGGTAGTCCATTAGACACCCCGACAGGAGGGTCCAGGTACGTCTACTCCTTATAAGACCCTATAATGGTTAGGCCCGCGGCCGGCCCTTCCGTTCGGTTCCCGCGGCTCCTGGACGCTGCGTTGCCGCTGGGCGTCCTCAGCGGCGCTGCGGCGCACGCCGCTCGTCAGGAGGTCGGCGTCCAGCTGCTGCTTCGCCTGACGGGTCCGGCGACGGGTGCGGCGAGATCCGGAGAAAGGCTCGCGCCGGCCGCTGATGGCCATGGAGTAGAGTGTTTGGGAGAGTCTGATTTGGGGAAGCTGCGGAGAAAGAGGTGAAGACTTTGAGTCACTTGAATCAAGTGGCATTACAAAAGGTGATAGAAGCCATGCGCCTGGATTCAGTGAGGACGACATGCATGGATATCCTCACGATCCTCTACGAATCTCTTGCGGTGCTTCCACGGTGCACCGCCCAATGCCATGACTGAAGCAGTGAGGAAAGGGTTTCCGCTAGTAACATCTATCCTTTGATGAGGTTTCTCTAGACCCTAGCTCTTGTGTGTCTAATACAGACTGCCGCTTGCTTGCTTGATTGACTGACTGATTGCTTGGTTGATTGATCACACCCCGATATGAAGAGGTTGTTCAATCCAAATGGGTGGGCTTCAAGGGTCACTGAGCCTACCGTCTACATGACATGCACTCCCGAAAACTCGAAAGTGGATGTCATGGCCCCGAGTTCGACCATTTTCACTCCATTACAAGCAGGTGGTGCCATCCGCCCAACCATGTGAGTTCCAGGGGAGGTTTCCGCCTTCGGTGCCGCAACGGCGGAACGCCGGAACGGAAGCCAGGCTTCCGGCCTCCTGCTCTTGCTTCTCCGCCAGCTGATTGGCATGCTCCCGGCGCAAGGCCTGGACTGCCGTGCCGTGGGACCGAACAAACGGCCCAAACCATTCATCCCAAGAGAGCTTAACTGACCTGTGGGATACCTATGGGGTACCGAACTGGGGTAGTCGAACTGGGGCCTATATAGGGTTCTTCAACCTCTGGTCACTAGGGTTCCAAGTAGCTCCGACTCGAGTTCGTGCGGCTGGTTCGTGCGTGTCGAGCACATCGTGTCGTGTGAAACACATCACTTTCTCAGATGGTGGCAGTGGATCCTCAGGGCATAGACTGGCATAGACTGGAAGACGTTCGCGTCACGATCGGCCAATGTTCTTCCACGCTCCCTGGAGCTGGAAGTGGATTGTTCGTGACACGAGTCCCCAAACCCCCGGTAAAGCCGCGAAGCAAATGGGTCGGTTCCTCACCCACTGCGGAGCTGATGGTCGCTCAAAAAGAAAAAAAATATGATCCCCTTGCATACGACCAGAAAGCCTGAATATTTGTGTCGACACACCTCTTGGGAGGTCCTGTCATAGCCTCTTAGAGGTGATTAGGGGTGTCCCGAAAAACACCGGACTTGGTTTCGGTCCTGTCTAGACGTCTTCTATGGATTCCTGGCCTTGGGGACCGACGCATCCCCGGTTCCCCCTCGAAAAGGTCTGCAAGCAGGCCGCTGCGGCGACCAGGACGGTAGGAAAAAAGGGTGCCAAACTTGGACGGTAGCGTCCTTGCTCCTAGTATCTCCTAGTAGTGATGCCAGGAGCGTCCTTGCTCCTAGTAGTACGGCCAGGAGCCCCCAGTAGCTTTTTGTTACTAGTAGTAGGTGTGTAGGGGTGCCAAACGTCACATCCAATCACATTTCTGCGGTAAAATCTTGAAAACTCATGAACTGCTGGAACTGCTGGTTCGGCCAGCTCCTTTCAAGTCACCTTGAACTTTTTTTGGATCCTTTCATCGCAGCTGTCCTCTCACCACAGCTCGCTGGCCCCCTTACTGGGTGGGCCAACCCTGATAGTCTGCGACCAAAAAAAAAAGAGGCGGTGCTCATGTCGGGCGCTGGCCCCATTTCGGTCCGCACGTGCGACGGTTGTGTGACTGTCAAAAGGACATGTATGCATATAGACAAGGGATGTGAGGGTAATTTCGACCACTCTAAGCACTGTTGAGATTACTATTAAGCACTCGGAACTGGATCCAGTGGTACCAGCATTTGTGGGCTACCATAGATACCAGTACATCAGTAACATCCTCGTCCACAAGCCCTCTCAGATTGAGTTCAACATTTTGAGATACAGTATATTGAGATTCGTCATAAAGGTGAAGGCCATTCCGTGGTGGAGCAAGGGGCTGGTGAAAGTTGAAGTCAACCTGTTAACGAAGGATCAATCTGTCCCCAAACGCCATATGGATTAGACAATATGTAATGCATGACCTTACAAGTTCAATGGTTCTGGAGCACGCCTTAACTAAGAGGCTATTTATGGACACCTCTTGGTCCTGGTAAAAAAGAAAAAAACAACAGGTTTTCTGGCTTTCGGGGCGGCCCTGGTAGGCATACATGGAGTGTCTGGAGTGTCCGGCGGCGCCCAAACAGGCGGTCCGGTCGCATGGGGGTCGTCCTCGTCCTGGCTAGGCAGGGAGAAAAAAACACACCTTGGATTGAATTTGCTGTGCCGGACACTTGTAATGCTGGCCAGGTATGGGGGGTTCACCCAGTTCGGGAAAGTAACAAATCACCTGATCCGCAAAAACTTTTCAGGGCTCTTAGTCCAACCACCTTTCATCTCGACGTCTGCATGGTGCATTCCCTGCACATCATCGCACGGACGCCCGGCACCGGGCGGCCCCCGAACGAAGGGCCCTTTGTTAGGAAAGCAGCTCTCCCTAAGAATCCGGACGGACCCTCCATGGCACGAGTCAACCCCTCCATCGCAGGGGTCCGGGTCCGGGTCCCAAAGCGTGTTCGAGGGCCCGGATTCTGAGAGGAGAAAGAACCTCACAATCCCTGCCTCTGATGGGACATGTTGGCAAGTAAATATCTCCATCGGTGCGCTAGCGCCTGCAGTAGCAAGGTTGAAATTGCCGACAGCTGGGCAGCAAAAAAACCGTGGATGAACACATGTTTCTGCGAGGCATGACCAGTTGAGAGGCTCGAAGGCAAGGCAAAGAGAGGTGGCAACAGCTCAATCAAACAGTTCGGAGGCTTTCCGTGCTTCTGACATGTTCCTGTGGATGCCCCTCTTCAATAGGCCTAGAAACGATGCCCTTGGCAAAAACCGGTGTTTGCATCATAGGTGCCACCTCAAGCGGAGCGTCTAGGGTCGGATTCTAAGAATCTCAACCAGCTAAGGCATCCGTGGGAAATGAGAGGTTGGAGTGATGGGGATCGCTCCACTAGCTAGAAGCTATTAGGTCGGAGGCCATTGCTAGAGGGTTGGAGGCCATTAATGGGCCATTACTACTATAGTTACTAGCAGCTAGAAGCGAAAATCTGGATCTTCCACCGCATGACTGCGAGATACTGCGAGTATCTGCGAGTCAGAAAACCGCTGTCTAAAAGCCTCGCTCCGCTGCATGCTGAATGCTGAATGCTGCTGGATGCTGAAGAGAACATCGAATAGGATTCCGATCCCTGCGAATACCATGGACATGCATGTTATACAAACCAAACCGAGTGTTTCTCACCATTCTCACCAAACTATCGCTTGCATGACATGTTTGGAGCTGCTGTGCACGAGAAACGCTTCACATCCTCTCTCTCCCACGTCTACCCATTTCGATCTACGATGGGAAAATAAACTCCCCGAAGGGAGAATTATCCTTCCTCAGGATTCTGGGCACAGTGGTTAGCCACTAGCCATGCTCTCCAAAACAAATGCCCGCCTCCGAGGAAGAGTGGGAAGGGTTTGAAGGAAACGCTTTCGACATTCATCAACAAACGGGATTTGTGCCAAGAACTTTGTGGAAGGATTGCCACCAGCACAAGGCATGTTCCAAACGTGCCTCGAAAATTGCCGTGGGGAGCGTACGACCAAAGAAACAGCACAGGGTCAACGCCACTGGCACCCCTCGTGCTATTTCTCAGCCGTCTTGAAAAGCATTCACACGCCCATTCAAGAAAGCCATCTCATTCTGAAGCTTCTTCAATCTCTCCTGGCCATCAGCAGAAATTCACTTACAACTGCCGAATTCAAAGCTAAGCTCACGTGATTTAGATAGCCACCCACCAGACCCGCAACAATTCTCTTCACCCTGTGTTCGTGATCCCCCACAAGACCCAATCCACCTAAGCCAATTGATCAGTCCCTGCGCCTCTCAACGAAGTGGGGCGATCATGGGCCTTCTCTGACCCAACCACTCCCAGCTTCTTCAGTTCGTGACCTCTTTGGAGTGCCCAAACTCGTGACCTGTGACCAAGCCAACTGGGATATCAAGGACGGACCAGGTCCATGGACTGCAAGGGCCTGCCGCCCACGACCCCATGGACGAGCGGTTTGGGTTTAAGGTTCGAGGGGTGTTCGTCGGATTTGCTGATCATTGATCCCGAGATACCCAAGGATTCTGAAAACCGGGACCATCAAAACATCACCTCAAAACCAGGTCTTTGAGGCCTCGATAGGTCAAACCAGCTAGAAAATGAATTGTTATTCCGTCTATACATGTATGGAACCCAGGGCATCCAGTTACCACTATAGCTGGTAACCAGTGGCTCCACAGACTAAAACGACCTAGAATCACTGGTTCCTAATATAGTGGTAACTGGGATCCACTGGGGAATGTATATATATATATAGACTGCATGGGTAGTTAAATAGAAGCATAACATAGTCCTATATATTCAAAGCTAATGTCATCCATATATGTTATGAACAATAGGGATCAATAGGGCCATCAATGGGATACAATGTAACACATTTCGGTACATGATGGCACATGCATGGTCCATGAACAGCAGCCGAAATGACTCGCGCATACTGGCGCGAGTGTCGAAATCAGCCGGATGGCCACGCTGATGGCCACTGATGGCCTGTAGAAAAATGTGAAAGCTGAAAAGGAATCACACTGGCCACGTGTAGCCGTGCAGCCATGTGTACTTCGGAAAAAAACGATCCACTTCCAGGTGTCGCCAGTGCAAACGATCCACCTCCAAGTCTGGCTCCGAACGTCTTTTTCGTTCTCGCCTTCGAAGGCCTGAACACCTTCTCGAATGCCTGAAGTCTGGACCTGGTTTTAGGGGACGCACCTGAACAGTTTTGGACCTCCGTTTTGCACCAACTGACTCTTGCGTAGGGAATGAGATGGAATGAGATGGAACCGCCACTGCGATAGTGATTCCTTCCAATTCCTTCTTCCTTGCAGTCAACCAACTCGTTGAACCGTAAACATTTAAAGGGAGGATGGGATCCCTGAACCAAACATATCTCATGTCGACTCAGGACCCCTCGAATTCGCACTGGCCGGTGACTCCTTGCACCGCCCCACGCCGCAGGGCCCGGTTTGGAAGACATCACACTCCGCGGGTTGTGCTTCGAAACGTGTCACTCCTCCACAAAGACCCAGAAGCGGCCCTGATGCTTGATGTGCCAGGCCTGGCAGAAAGTCACGATTCCTTTCAAACACAGGGCCACACTTTTTTTGTAGGGATCCAGTCGTACCTTCTCAGGTGATTGGAGACACCGCTATGTAGGTGTGGAGGGTCCAAGTACCTTCTGACTTGGATTTCTAGGGACTCAGCAGGACCAATGTCCAGAAGAGACCGGCATGGATGAGCCGTTTGCTAGACATGCTAACTCCCAAACACTCCAGTGAAACTGGCATATATAATATATGCCGTCCCTATATGGGGAGACCTGTTCAACCATCCCATATGTATATAGGCAAATATTATGGATGGCAGTTCCAAGGAATGTTTGGGCATGCTTTCACCGTTGCCTTCGGATTGGACATAGCATCCGCTGAATTTGGGCGCGTTTTTCAGTGAACAAAGAGCGGCGCCGGGAGGGGGCCGCATGGGCCTCGTTTTGGC